TAAGAATAGGCTCAAAATAGGTGTTTTAAAAAGCAGTTTTTATGTAGGGGAAAGAAGGGAAATCTCAGGTCATTAGTGTAAAGGAGAGAAATTGAAAAAGTGGATGAGCCTAGAAAAAGAAGTTTCTTTCCTTAGATATATGGAAGAATTAACAGAAGGGAGGTGCTAGATAATCATCAGAACACATTTGTTACACACTATGTCTTGTATTTTACCTTTATCTGCCTTACTCAATTTCAGCTAAAATGAGCTCAGTAATTGTGAGACTTCAGGACCTCCCTTGTGGTCTAGTGGTTAAGAATCTGCCTGCCAGTGCAGGAGACAGGGGTTTGATCCCTGGTCTGGGTAGATTTCACGTGCTGCAAAGCAGCCAAGCCTGTAGGCCATAATTACTGAAGCCTGTGTGCCCAGAGCCCATGCTCCGCAACAAGAGAAGCCACTGCAGTGAGAAGCCTGTGCGCCACAATGAAGAGTAGGCCGCACTCGCCATAACTAGAGAAAGCCTGTGTGCGGCAACAAAGACTCAGTGCAGCCATAATTACATAAATAAAATTTAAAAAAAAGATTTCATTCATCTCCCACCTCTCCCTTTCCCCAGACCTTTATCGTTTCATTCTTCTACCCGAATGCACCTTGGGCAAAAGTTTCAAAAAAGAAAGTAATAAAGGGTTTTCTACTCAGTTGAAGAAGTGAAATGACTTAATTAGGTGGCAAGCAAGTGAATGGTAATGGCTTTGTAAGACATCCTTGAGTAAGACATTGAAGACTGAATTAGAAGAACTGATTATTAAATCTTCTACAGGCTTGTAAATATAAGACATGTATATATGAAACACTTAGGATTTTGAGAATTTTCAAAGGTATTTTGACTTGTGTCTTATTTTTGAGTAATTTGAGACTTCACCAAAATTTGAAACCAAATCTAGTTACATCAGACTTAAGAAACAGATTTTAGGATTCTATGATGATTCATGCCATTTGTTGTGAATTTTTTTTGTTTTGTTTTTGTTTTCTTGGCCACTTTGCTCTGCTTGTGGGATCTTAGTTCCCTGACCAGGGATTGAACCTGCTCCCTTGGCAATGAAAGCATGGAGTCCTAACCACTGGACCACCCTGTGAATTTTTTAAAAAGAGTTCAAAGGGCCCTTCCCCCCACCCCCAGTCTGCTCTCTAAAATAACATTTCTAAAAATAGAATTGTTAAATCACTTACCTGAAGATACAGCTCCTTTTGAGTAGTTTTTTTAGACCTAAATAAATAGGATGGTTTTTTCTGTTTAAAAATGTGTGGGAGCATCTGAGATACTAAGATTTTTCCTTTTTGTTTAAGTATTTCCTTTGATCAAGGCACTTGGTTGTAAACTTTGAGCTTTGCATTATTTCTGATGAAAATATGGACAGAAAGTAATTGTAAGGTATATCTCCATTATGTTATCCTGTCAAACTATTTTTAAAATTATGTCCTGTAGTTATGTCATGTAACAGAATGTTTTGTTGCATAACTTTTGCCTTTCAAGACGGTTTGAGTAGAATATATCCTTTTCTTTTTTGTTAAAGCATAGTAAACTCTCCTAAGTTAAAAACAACAGTAAACTTTTATGCTGCTGTTTTTTGTTTTTGTTTTTTCATAAAATTCAGGGACTTATTCTGGACACAATGTATTTTTCTTATTGAGTATCATAGATCTTGATAGAGCTGTCACAGCAGAAATAGGGGGAAAAAATATACCGAGAGACATTATGATTCAAAGGAGAAAGCAGCTGGCTCTGTATATCCTCCTGACTCTTGGTCCAGAAGCAGTGTTTTTGTATTCTGAAGCCAGGTATAAACAGTAGTCATCTATTCAGATTATTAGTAATTTCCTTTCAAAGCAAATGAGACTGTATTAGGCTAGAAATTTTAAAATCTGTAGTTTCGGAGAATTTTCTATTTTTATTAGAAATTTAGAATTTTCCTTAGAAAATTTCCTTTCCTTACTCTTAGTTATATCCTTCTGGTAGTATGTGTTAAAAATATCATTCTGAAAAATTGACTTTTGTGTTGCTTTTTAGTTGCTAAGTCGTGTCCAGCTCTGCAACACTGTAGCATACCAGATTCCTCTGTCCTCTGCTATCTCTTGGAGTTTGCTCAAATTCATGTCTATTGAATCGGTGATAATAACTAACCATCTTACCCTCTGTTCCCCCTTCTCCGTCTGCCCTCACTCTTTCCCAGCATCAGGATCTTTTACAGTGCATCAGCTCTTGGCATCAGGTGGCCGAAGTATTGGAACTTCAGTTTTAGCAGTGGTTCTTCCAATGAATATTGAGGATTGATATCTTTTAAGATTAACTGGTTTGATCTCCTTGCAGACTCTCAGGGGTCTTCTTCAGTACCACAATAGGATAGCATCAGTTCTCTGGTGCTCAGCCTTCTTTATGGTCCAGCTCTCACATCCGTACATGCCATAGCTTTGACTATACAGACCTTTGTCAGCAAAGTGATGACTCTGTTTTTTAATACACTGTCTAGGTTTTGTCATAGCTTTTCTTCCAAGGAGCAAGCTTCTTTTTAATTTCATAGCTGTGATCAATGTCTGCAGTGATTTTGGAGCCCAAGAAAATAAAATATGCCTCTGTTTCCACTTTTTCCCTATTTGCTATGAAGTGATAGAACTGGATGCCATAATGTTAGTTTTTTTAATGATGAGTTTCAAGCCAACTTTTTCACTCACCTCTTTCACCTTCATCAAGAGGCTCTTTAGTTTCTCTTCACTTTCTGCCATTAGTGTGATATCATCTGCATATCTGAAGTTGTTGATATTTCTCCCGGCAGTCTTGATTCCAGCTAGTGATTCATCCAACCTGGCATTTTGCATGATGTATTCTGCATAGAAGTTAAATAAGCAGGGTGACAATATACAGCCATGACATACTTCTTTTCCATGTTGTACCAGTCTGTTGCCCATGTTGGGCAACATGGTTCTAACTCTTGAATCTTGACCTGCATACAGGTTTCCGAGGATACAGGTAAGGTGGTCTGGTACTCCCATCTCCTTAAGAATTTTCCATAGTTTGCTGTGATCCACACAAAAGCTTTAGTGTAGTTGATGAAGCAGAAGTAGATATTTTTCTGGAATTCTCTTGCTTTGAAGCAGAAGTAGATATTTTTCTGGAATTCTCTTGCTTTCACAACAAATGTTGACAATTTGATCTGTGGTTCCTCTGCTCTTCAAAATCCAGCTTATACTTCTGGAATTTCTCTAGCTTGAAAGATTTTGAACATAACCTTGCTAGCATGTGAAATGATCATAGTTATACAGTAGTTTGAACATTCTTTGGCATTGCCTTTCTTTGTAATTGGAATGAAAACTGACCTTTTCCAGCCCTTTGACCACTACTGAGTTTTCCAAATTTGCCGACATACTGAGTGGAGCACTGTAACAGCATCATTTTGTAGGATTTACAATAGCTCAGCTAGAATTCCATCACTTCCTTTAGCTTTGTTCATAGTAATGCTTCCTAAGGCTCACTTGACTTTACATTGCAGTGTCCTGCTCTAGGTGAATGACCATACCATCGTGGTTATCTGGGTCATTAAGACCTTTCTTATATAGTTGCAACCTCTTCTTAATCTCTTCTCCTTCTTTTAGGTCCATACTGTTTTTGTCCTTTATCATACCCATCCTTGCATGAAATGCTCCCTTGATATCGCCAACTTTCTTGAAGTGATCTCTAGTCTTCCCCATTCTATTGTTTTCCTCCATTTCTTTACATTAGTCGATTTTAGAAGGCCTTCTTATCACTCCTTCCTATTCTCTGGGACTCTGCATTCAGTTGGGTATAATTTTCTTTTTCTGCGTGGTTTCACTTCTCTTTTTTCCTCAGCTATTTGTAAATCCTCCTCACACAGCCACTTTGCCTTCTTGTGTTTCTTTTCCTTTGTGATGGTTTTGATCATTGCCTTCTGTACAGTGTTATGAACCTCAATCCACAGTTCTTCAGGCACTCTGTCTAACAGATCTAATCCCTTGAATCTATTCCTCACTTCCACTGTGTAATCATAAGGGATTTGATTTAGATCATACCTGAATGGCTTACTGATTTTTCATACTTTTCTTCAATTTGAGCCTGAATTTTGCAAAGGAGCTAATGGAATGAGCCACAGTCAGCTCCAGGTCTTGTTTTTGCTGTCTGTATAGAGCTTCTCTCTTCAGCTGCAAAGAACATAATCACTCTGATTTTAATGTTGACCACTTGGTGATGTCCACATGTAGAGTCGTCTCTTCTGTTGTTGAAAAAGGATGTTTGCTATGACCAGCGTGTTCTTTTGACAAAACTCTATTAGCCTTTGCTGTGCTTTATTTTGCATTCCAAGGCCACACTTGCCTTTATTCTAGGTGTCTCTTCCTGCTTTTGCATTCCAAACCCTTATGATGAAAAGGACAGCTGCTTTTGGTATTAGTTCTAGAAGGTATTGGAGGTCTTCATAGACTTGGTCAACTTTAGCTTCTTCAGCATCAGTGGTTGAGGCATAGACTTGGATTACTATGATGTTGAATGATTTGCCTTGGAAATGAACTGAGATTATTCTGTTGTTTTTGAGATTGCACCCAAGTACTGTCCCCCCTGGTGACTCAGATGGTAAAGCGTCTGCCTGCAGTGTGGGAGACCTGGGTTCAATCCCTGGGTTGGAAAGATCCCCTGGAGAAGGAAATGGCAACCCACTCCAGTACTCTTGCCTGGGAAATTACATGGACTGAGGAGCCTGGTAGGCTACAGTCTATGGGGTCACAAAGAGCTGGACACGACTGAGCGACTTCACTTCACTGCATTTCAGACTCTTGTTGACTATGAAGGCTCCTTGTACACTTGAGTTTTTTTGTTTAAAATTGTTGCATCTCTTAGAAATAAATACATTACCACATTAAATCTATATAAATTATTTGGAAAGATTTGTAAAAGATAAAGTGATTAGGAAAAGAAATGTAAACTTTTAATGGTATTGATGACTGTTGTTTAGGAAGCAGTACTGCTGGAGCACCCTTTCAGTGCTGTGAGACAAGAACAGCAGAGAAAATGGATTGAAGAGTTGAACAAGCAAATAGAAGATGACCGGCAAAAAAAAGCAGAGGAGAAAATGATATCCTCAATGGTAATTTATAAAGTTTCATTGAGGATACAGGAAAAAAAAATTAAACATCTTTAATCATAAACTTAAAAGTATCCTAAAACTGCATGACAAGATTAGCATATTTAAATTATTCCACATTTGCTCTTGCGAACCTTTTTTGAATGAAGTTAGTAAGTGCGATTTCTTGTAACTTGTTAGACATTTCCTAATTCTTTGATTTTTTCATATTCTCTATGCTTAGCTATCTCAATGTATGTGGAATCAATACAGAATGCAGTTTTGTTAATTTTCACGATGCTTGTTTTGCTGTGTGGTGACTTTTAGAAATTTTGTTATTTGTCATTTGGGATTTTAAATGTAAGAAGAGTTACTAAAGTTGTTAGCAATTCTCATTTGTTGTGACTAGGGTGAGGAACATGACAGATGGGCGGTGCATTTTGATTCCTTAAAGAACTGTCCTGGTTCTCAGTCTCGACTGTCGTCCCAGTCAGTGCAGAAACAACCGGAGTACTTGTGTGTCTCTCCGGACACGCAGGAGCTGGCTGATCTCAGCAGTCTTTCTACACCTACCGTCGGAAGCCAGATTGAGCCTGCAGAGGAGGAACATACAGTGAAGCCTGTTAGAGATATGGCTGTGGCAAACATTCAGAAAACGAAGTAAGTTCAGTCTTCAGTATTTATTGATGCTTAAGAAAGTCTGTGTGCTTTCTTTTAGGGCTGTTGTTTGTTTATATCTTAACTGTTTTCAGTTTCCTATTTTTATTTATAGTAGAAATGACTCAGTAGAGCTCCCTTGCCTTCCCAATTGGATCTCTTTCAAGTATCCTATATTAATATATTTCTTGCCTATCAAAAAACAAAAGTAGAAATGATGTATTTCAAACAAAAATAAGTTAGTACTTCGTTAAACCCACCTTTGTGGGTTTTAAGTAGCTAATATATCTATCTTGCCAGCTTTCTCCGTTCTATGACTGCTCTTTTGGACCCAGCTCAGATTGAGGAACGAGACAGGAGGCGACAAAAGCAGTTAGAACATCAGGTATTGCATTGTAAAAATGTTGTTCTTTGCCTTAATAGTAAGTAGTCATGGCCTAGATACCTAAGTGAATGGAAACTAAATTTTGGTATAACTTTACAGCACAAGCTTTGCACAATCCTGTGCTTACATCTAATCCCTACACCAACTGGCATTATATTAGAATTATACTCATGTTGAGAATTAGATAGTATCACATATTACAGTCACCTGCCTTCCAAGAGAGGTCTTTAATGTATAGGTTGTGTATCTGAAATGATACTGAATCTGTTTAAGTTAGTATTAAGTTGGGGTTTTTTTTTCCCCCTTCAGTTCTTCTGAATTCTGTTCAGGGTGAGAATTAGGTCTTTGAAAGGGAAAAATATATATAAAGGATTGAGGTAAAATTATGATTAAGAAATTTAGCAGATAATAAAGGAAACTAAGATTAAAATTCTACCCTAATTTTAGTCTAATACCAAAGGGACTTGAATGTCTAATAAGTCTTTAAAATGTCTACTGTGTGAAGAATTTGGCTTAGTTCATGTAGTTAACAATTAAGTGAAGCAGACATTTATAGAGCATCTGCTATTTTTATCAGGCACTATGTTAAACACTTGAGATTCTTCCCTCAGTTGGTTTTCTCTTAGTTCTTCTAAGAGCCCTCCTGGGGTTAAAGAAAAGGCATGTAGAACTTGACAGGTGGGAGATGGGAAAAACCTGACTTCCTAATTTAACTTGACGTTCTAACTTAACTCATGTATATACTGCCTTCTCTATATTGATGAACATTTTGAGACACCAGAAAAATGCTGTGTGAATTTTTAAGATTTATGACAGTGATTTATGTTGCTGTTTATGAGTAGAAAGCCATCACTGCTCAGGTAGAAGAGAAGCGCAAGAAGAAGCAGCTCGAAGAAGAGCAGAGAAAGAAGGAGGAGCAGGAGGAGGAGCGTCGCCTCGCCCGGGAACGAGAAGAGATGCAGAAACAGTATGAGGAAGACATACTTAAGCAAAAACAAAAGGAAGTAGGTTATTTGTATCCTAACTGTGACATTTTAAAGTAAAAGTGGGTTTGTTTTTAAAGAAAAAATAACCAGAATATTTGCATGTATTTTGAAATGGTGAAGCTGTATGCAGAAACATTAAAGCTTTGTGTAAAGAAAGTTTCGTAAGTAGAAAGAAAGCTGGAGCTTTTATTTTTTCAAAAGATTTTTTCACAGATGCTATTTTTTTTTTTCTGCTCTGAGGAGAGGGGAGGTCAAGATGAGTTATTACAACATAAAACAAAAATTTTCCATATGCTTAATTTTGAAGTGTTTCCTAAGCAATGATTATTAATAAATTTCTAGATATGTTAAGAGAAATGATTGGGCTTTCTGTCTATTCATTTGTGAACAGGAGCATTTACTTGCAGAATGACTGGCTGGGATTGATGATAGAGTCTGTTGCTATGTTAGAGGATTCCTCTGTGCTAATTAAAAATCTGTTAAAAAGAGTAGGAGAACATAGCAAGTGGTACAGACTGCATAGGTATGGTGATATCAAGTGCTGTGTTTGGGTGGGCCTGACAAACAGCAGGTTATACAGTGACGTTCAATTGCCAAAGGTTCATGGGATTTACAGAATAGATCATACAGCACTTGCCCTGGGGCTGGGAGGTGGCGTGGTGGCGTCGAGAGCTTGCCTTTTCTTGCCAGTTCCTGCTTGCAACCTTTGCTTCAGAATTAGCTGATGAAGGTATAAATGGTTTAGGTTCTGATTTGGATACATAGAATATGCTGAGCCAGCTACATCTATGAAATAACTACTACATGAAAAAAAAAAAGGTTATTTGCTTGAATTGTAAAAAATGACTATAAATCTTGAGTATTAGTTCTTAATTATCTAGTGGGTTGCCAAAAAGTTTGTGATTTTTCGTAACATGAAGAAACTCAGATAAACTTTCTGGCTTCTCCAGTTTTCTTTTACTTTAATAAAATTATGGAGTTGACCTTTGGTTTTAGAAGCTTTGGAAACTTGATTAGTATAATCTTGAGTGGGTGAAAGAGTTTTTGTGTTGGTAGTCTAATACAGCTGTAGAAAAAGATACTAAAATATGAGCTCCAAAAAGGAATGAACTTTGTTCTGTTGGCTGCTCTTCCCAGTTTCTTGAATAGTGCCTGGCATATAGTAGGAACTTAGAAAATTATTAATTGTTACTGAGAGAGAATAGTCATGTCTGTACATGTTTGATAATTGTATTTAATAACTTTGTACACTTCAACATTGATAGGAAATGATGACTCTACAGACGAATAAGCTGTTCCAGACGATGCAGAGAGCGCAAGAGCTGGCACAGAGACTGAAACAAGAACAGAGAATCCGAGAATTGGCTCAAAAGGGACATGACACTTCTAGATTGATTCAAAATCTTGGCAGTAAGCACAACTAGAATTTTATGTATGATTATAGTATTTTTTGAAGATTGAGAATAATTGCCTCTTTTTAATACCTTTAAACACTTGTTCACTAAATACTTTTTAAGGAATTTCAAACTTTGAACTAATGTAATTTTATAATGCTTACTTGGGAAATTGCATTAAGAGGAGAACTAAATAATGCTGTACTCCTCAGTATCTTTTCACATACATTTTCTTAACATTTCCCTCACAATAGGTAAAATGTATACTTTTGTACCCATTTGTACAGAGCTGTCCATTAAGTAAGGGATAAAAATGCTGATAACTTTTTATGAGAAACTTTAGGCTAGCCCTTCTAAATTTTTATTGCAGTGTTTACTTGATTAAATTGAAAGTCATTTGTGTATTTACTTGCTGCTATCATTTTATCAGATAACTTATTTCTCTTGCCAGTTGATACCATACAAGTGGAATATAATGCATCTACTAACAATACTGCAAACTCAAGACACGGCTTGGATAAAGTGAGTGGTAAAATGAATACATATATCAACTCTACAACTTCTCCCAGGAAGGACACTGGTGTGCAGACAGGTATTGGTTGATAAATTGTGATTTGGCTTAAAATTTACTTAAAATCACAATTGAAATTAAGTTAAATTAATTTAAAGTTTAAAATTTAAAGGAATTAAAGGTTTTCAAGTAAGAGTTAGAAAATGAAGGTATTTCTTGGTTTTTAATTTCGCTATAGCAGCTTTATAAAGATATAATTTACATAGCATTAAATTAACCCATTTAAAGGATACAGTTCAGTGTTTTTTAAAGGATACAATTCAGTTTTTATATTCAGAGTTGTACAGCCACCACCATAGTTATTTTTTAGAACATTTTTACCACTCCAGAAAGAAACCCTGTACCCATCAACAGTCCTTCTCCATTTCCTCCTTCCTCTCTATTCCTGGGCAACCACCAGACTACTTTCTGTCTCTCTAGATTTGTCTATTCTGGACATTCCATATGATTGAAATCTTTTCTGTCTGGATTCTTTCACTTAGCATGTTTTAAGGTTCATCTGTATTGTAACATATGACAGTAAGTGCTTCATTCTTTTTATCACTGAACAGTTTTCCATTTTATGCATATACCACCATATTTTGTTTTTATTCCTTCATCAGTTGACATTTGCTTCCACTTTTTGGCTATTAGAAATGCGCTGCTGTGAGCCTTATGGTACAAAATTTTGTGTAGACATAAATTTTTGGTCTCTTGGGGGAAAAGAGTAGCATTGCAAAGTCATAGAGTAACTGTATGTTTAAGGTTTTGAAGAATTACTAAACTATCTTCCAGAGCAACCATACCATTTTACATTTCCACCAGTGATGTATGAAGGTTCCGATTTCTTTATATCCTCGCTGGTACTAATTCTCTTGGTTGTGAAGTGCTCTCTCATCATGACTGCTGACATTAAGCATCTTTTCCTGTGCTGCTTTTAAATTTTTACAGAAGTAATTAAGTAATACTCATGTTGGGTGTCACTTTCATAGGCTTACTAGGAATCCTTTCGGCTCTCCTCCTATATGTCCAGGAAATTTCTTTTTTAAAGTACTTTAAAAAAAAATAACTTCCAGTAACTTTTTATCTTGTTCTAAAATGTAGAATTGAGGTATAACTGACACATAACATTAGTTTCGGGTGTATACCATAATGTTTATACTGTCAGTAGCACAGACTGGGGCTCCAAACGAGTGTAAAGCTCTTTTCTGGGCGATAGCCGCAGGCTGCAGTGAGGCAGAGGAAGCTGTGAGATGGGAGAAACTCAGCAGGACTCTGGGCGAGTGCAGACCTGAGGCCTGCCCCTGGACCGTTCTCATGCAAGGGCGAGAGTGTGTGTGTTTCAGTTTTGTTTGTCCAGTGCTCTGTGGTCAGTAACCTGCCAGTAATCCTCTCTTCAGTTATTTTAGTCTCATGAGACCTGGAACACAAGCCCCATTGGTTACAGTCCTGTGGGAACTGCAAGCAGAAGCCCTTGGCCACGAGAACAAGGTGTTGTAGAGGTGTCCCCTGGTGGCACCTGCAGAACTTGGGACACCATCCAAGCGTATAAACTTTTTGGGAAACACTGCCTTGCTGGCATAAGGCAGAGGAAAAATGTAAAGATTTTATCTAACGACCTCCTTTCCCTGAGAGCTTGTCCATAGGCCCCTCGATGTGTGCCAAACTCAAGCCTTTCCTTCAGGCTGAACCTTTTGGAAAAGCAAATAGGAATCTTTTTCAGAAAGACTGAGGGTTTGTTTCAGCCTGCTGTTTATGCAGTGTCCTTGGGGTTGATACTCTGTCAAGAGCTATTTCTCTGATTGCTACAGTTTCACGGGACCCTGGCCTCCAGAGCCAGTCTGTCAGGGGGAAGCCACTGGGCAACAGGTGCAGAAACCAGGGCCGCAGGTGCTCGGGGGAGTTCCCTGCCAGGAGATACTGGCTCTCTGACCTGGGGTCAAGGGAGAGGGTGAAGATGGCATGCACCAGTTGGACAAGGGGGAGGGAGAGTGCTGAGATGCCCCCACCACTCCCCTCGAAGCTTGGGAGTGTGATAGGGCAGGGGCGGCAAGGTGGAAATAACAGGTCTAGTGTTGTTGTTTTTCAGTTAAAAGGTGATGCCCGCCAGCCTCTTTCCACACTCTCACTGTGAGAGTATTCCAGCAAGCCCGCAGATGTGTTAAGTTACATGCCTACCCCTTGGGCCAACGCTTCAACTGATTTTTTTTTTTTAACCTAATTTTAAATGAGCTTCCTTCATACCTGCGTGTTATCCGCTGCCTCTGCCCTGGGCCCAGGGGTAGGTGACCCTTGAGGAGCTGTTTCTCCCTTCTGCTTTAGCTTTGAGTCTAGTTTTGGTTTTCATGTTAGATGTTTTGGGGCATTATCTATTCTGTGCAGATCTTAAAAGTGGGGGTGCTCAATGTGGGGTTCAGACCCTTTGTTTCTTGGAGGAAAGCTCTTGAGTTTTGAGTTCCCTCCCAGTTGTGGGTTGTAGCACACGGGGTTTATAGCTTGGTTGCAGCTCAGCCTTTCTCACCTGCTTTGATGGTGGGGCTCACTTGCCCAGTGTGTAGGGGTCGCCTAGCCAGTTTTTTAGGTTTTTTTTTTTCTTTTAAGAGGAAATTGTTCCATATGTATGTGTAGGTTCAGTGTGTCCATTGGAGGTGAGTTCAGTATCTTCATAGGTCACCACCTTGAACTAGAGCCCTTCACTTTTTAAATGAATTACCAGTGGACCCTGCTATCAGTTATTTGTGGTCTCGGTAACTTAGACAAAAAACAGCTTGACTTGCCATTAAGTAGGGGATAATATTCCTCTGGAAATAGGAGTTGGCTGGTACTGTCTTACAGAAATCCATTCTCTACATAACCCTATTTTCTGCCAGTTAATCTTAGATCTTACTTCAGTATAACACGAGATTACCCACATCCTATAACAGGAAAGTAGAAGGGAATTTGAAAAAGGAAGAGAGGGTTAAAGCAGTCTCCTTAGTTATCTGAAATCATTCGGCTCATGAGCCCTTGGTCTTTTTTTTTTATAGTTAGCTCTTAGTGTGAAGAATCTGGTTTGGTCCCTTCTCTTTGTCCAGAGTAATAACAAAGTTATATAAATCCTACACATCAATTAAAGTCAAACTAAGTTTTTAAGACCGTGAAATTATGTATATTATCACTGGGAATGTAACCCATCAGGATCCTCAAATATCAGTAATTAAAGATGACTTATTTAGAAAGGGATTGTTTTCAAGGGAGTGGATGTGAGGGAGTGCAACAGTAATGCTTTGACTGGTGCCAGTAGCAACTGGAGTGTTACTGGAATCTAGAAGACAAGTGTTGGATAGAGGTAACTTTGAGGGGAACTGTGACCTTTGGGAAAGGTAGTCAGCCTGAGGTTAGCTCATAGGGACTGAGACAGTGGAATAAATACCCTGAATTCAGTCTTTTCCCTTCCTGTAATCTGCATATGAACACTCTTGATAAAATCAGAAACCCAAGGATCCAGAAAACCACTGATAAAGGTTCTTACCAATCGCCCTGAGAGCAGAGGAGAGAAGGGTGTAAATGGGTCTAAAGTGGCAAACAATACCCAGTAGGAGAGTGATGTGGGCTGGGCAGCCTTACTGGTAGGAATTAGTCCTGGGCAGCTCTAGCCTGGAATAACACATTTAGCTTAGTAAGTGGACTTTTTTTTTTTTCTAATGGGAAATCCAGACCTCCTTTGCTTAGCTACTTGTGAATTTAAAATTTCAATCACATGTGGAAAAATAGCCTTTGTGAGTTTGAGGCTACCCGCTGTTGTGACAGTAGATCATAAGTTGTAGGGAATCTCAGATGCCTTTTTTCCCAGTGGTGAACTTCTCTTGTTTTCAAAAAGGGAAAAGTGAAAGGTTATATGCATTCAGGGATAGTCTGCTGGCACAGCATGATGGTACATGAGACAGTCAAAAAATACATGAAATGCACTATCAGTAGCAATCAACATTTCCCTAAAAATTATAATCTTGCATTTCTAAGTGAAAACCAGGATAATTCTGTTTGGAAGTTTGGTGTAAAAAATGATCTCTATTATGTGATGCTAAGAATGAATCATCTGAGATTCTGATACGTGCTATAGCTTGAATGACCCTTGAAGGCCTTATGCTGAGTGAAATAAGCTGGAGTTGAGGGGAGGGGGCAGTTGTGCAGGGAGGCACAAATATTGGTACAAGGAATCTAGGGTTGGAGTAGAGTGGCGGTTGCTGGGGTTTGGGACGGGGGTGGAACGGGGAGTTACTGCAGTGGGCGCAGGGTGTCTGTGGGAGCTGCTGGTAGGTCTGGACTTGTGTGGCCTCATCAGTGTGCTCGATACCACTGAACTGTGCACTTAAAAAGGGTTTAATGAAAGATTCAGGGAAATCAGAACACTTGTGCCTTATTGGTGGGAATGTAAAATGGTGCAGCTGCTATGGCAAACTGCAGCACTGCCTCAGAAAATCTAAAATACAATTATGGTATTGGTTCAGCAGTCCCATTTATGGGTGTATACCCAAAACAACTACAAAAAGTGAGGTCTTGAATAGCCAAAGGCAGAGGTAAGGCAGCACAGGTGTCCCCTGACAGATGAATGAATAAAAGTGTGGTATACACACAATGGAATGTTATGGGGTATGTGTCTACAGACACACACACAATGGCGTATTGTATTACTCACAGTGACAAAAGGGAGGAAATTCTGACATATGTTACAGCTTGGGTGATCCTTGAGGACATTATGCTAACTGAAACAAGTCACAAAAAGACAAATACCTTAGATTCTACTTGTGTTTATAGTGGTCAGAATCATACAAGGTAGGAAGGTGGTTGCCGCCAGGTGGCAGGAAGGGGGAAGGAGTTGTTTAGTGGGTATAGAGGTTTTTTTTATTGGAATATGATTGCTTCACAATGTTGCACTAGTCCCTGCTGAACAACAAGGTGAAGGGGCCATGTGCATGTAGGTATCCCCTCCCTCTTGGGCCTCCTTCCCGCCTCCCCCATCCCACTCCTCTGGGTCAGTACACAACACTGAGCTGAACTCCCTGCTTTACAACAACTTTAGAATTTATTTTCAAAACAGAGTTTTTGAGGGCAGTTTTAATACCTCTGAAAAATGGTTAAGATGGGTAAGTTTTGTATTATGTATATTTTACCCCAATTTGAAGAAAAATTAATCACCTGAAACTTTTTTTTAGATGACTTAAATACAGGAGTATTTACCAATACAGAATCACACTGTGGATCGATAGCAGAGAGGGAAATTATAAATTGTTCATCTCCTGAGATTGCTGCAGAATTTAATGAAGAGTTTAACACTAAGAATAACAAGCAAGAACTAGTAAATCAGATTAAAGGAGCCAACTTAGAAAAAGAAAACAGTTGGTATAATGACCAGTGTAATCAGATCACAAGAACAGAGAAGCAAACAAAACATATGAAGAAATGTCCTAAAAGGCCTGACTGGAACATAAGTAAGCCACTGAGAAGGTATATTCCAGCATCAGAAAAGTACCCTAAACAACTTCAAAAGCTGAGAGAAGAAAAAAAGGTAAGAAGGCAGATGGAACTGCTTCATCTGATTGAAAGAAATAATTCTGGACAAATCTCTCAAAATAGAGGCACTTCACCAGAAGTTCTTCATTCATCTCATCAAGAAACTGAGCCAAGTTTCAGGCGGCAGCTAGTCAGAAAGGTAAAGCTGTTCTGTCTAAAAAATAATTTTTAAAAATGCATTGAGGTTTTTAGAATGAGACTACAGTTCCTCACATGCATGTTTTGACATGGCTTTTCTAGGTTTGAATGAGTTCTAGAAATTTGCTTTAGTTTACACCAGGGGTCAGCAAACCATGGCCCACAGGAAAAACACTCTATGTGCAAAAGCAGGCTGCAGATGTAGTGAGTGCCGCCTGCTGTTGCACATGCAGTATTTCAGGAACACATCTGTGCTCATCTTTTGTCTGTGGCCAACTTCGTGCTGCAAGAAGAGTTTTATTAGAGTAATTGCAGCAGACAGCACATGGCTCACAAAGCTGCGTTTACTATCTGTTCTTTACAGAAAAAAATTTACACTTAAACCCTGTATAGATTAATAGTATTCTTCATTCAAATATTCATTCAAAACGCTTGTTTATAGTCTGTACATATAGAGCTTCCCAGGTGGCTCAGTGGTAAAGAATCTGCCTGCCAATGCAGGAGACCTGGGTTTGATCCCTGGAGTGGGAAGACTCCCTGAAGGGAATGGCAGCCCACTCCAGTATTCTTGCCTGGGAAATCCCACAGACAGAGGAGCCTGGCGGGCTAAGTCCAGGAGGTTGCGAAAGAATTGGACACAAAGACTAAAACAACCAGTGACAGTGAATATTTGAACCAACACTCTTGAGAGAGAAATAAAGCCGTATAGACAGAGGGTAATGGGCAAGGTCAGGAATGACTGGTTTGGTTTCTCTGAGAAATACCTAGCCTATTACCTAGTATCTGTTGCTCAAATCATTGTTTGAGAAACATTTTAACAAGTTAACCACTACAATTATTTGTGGGGATATATGGAAATGCTGTTGCTTACCCCTTTCTACATTCATCTGTCCATCATACAGGAAGAAGAGCCTCTGAGAACTAATTGTTTTAGCAGGGAAAGGTATGTTATGGTTTTCATTGCTACTTCGTGCTTCCCATGTGATATAAAGGTCAGCCTAAGCAGGAATGTGACATTTTCTGTTAGCTCCAGATTTAAACAGTTTTGATTTTCCAGATGTCAACAGTGGAATAGACATTGTCCTTGGATTGAGGGGAGGAAAATGACTGGTTAGCAATGAGAGATTAACCAACGGGAAATTTAGAATCGTTAGCTCATACACAAAAGCAGAGAATAAAAATCTGTCTGGTTTAGAGTTGTCTCTGAATGTGGCTCTAATAGGAATTTTACTTCAGGTGGTAAAAGTTGTATTATGAACATTAGACTCAAATTAGGTAGCATTGATCCTCAGAAGCTAGTAAAATTTAAGCTTTCTCCCTGTTCTAGACTGTGTCTGTATATGTATATCCTCAGCTAGTAATAGTAACTCCCAAATTAATCCCATTTTATTGGCCTATTTTAGGAAAAATTATCAGAAAATTGAAGCCTTTTATACATGGTGTTCCATAAGATGTTATAAGTACATTTAGAATAAACTGAAATGTGATTGAAGAGTAGAAAATGCTTAATCTAAAATAAAAGACGCAATTGTTGATTAATGCTTCTTAAGTCCTTTATTGTGCTTTTGGGAAAATACAGGTCTCAGTCGCCACCAGTTCTGGCAGTGAAAAGCAGAATGCAACAAACTCAGACACTGAAAAATAGTAATTATGAAAAAAAGAATCTGATCTCAGGACATAGTCACACAGAATTACCACCTGGGATTTCTGATACATTTCATTTTATTCCATATGTTCGAACCAACGAGGTTTATTACCTGGACCCAGAGGCCCCATTGTCTAGGCCTGTAACCCAGGATGCTCAGTACCAAAATGCACATGGTAAGTAAATGTATCCCCACCCTGAATTCAAAATCCAAATTAGTATATGAGTAATACTAATAAGCTTTACCCCAGGAGGGGTAGGATTTCGCTCTTTTGGAGTGAACTATAAAATTTTGTATTGAATATGTATTAAGTTTTACTTGGTGCTTTCCTAGGATATAAATTAATGAACCCCTAGAAAATTATAGCATTGGGCTATTTCATAGTATCAGAAATGTATTTGATTTTTGTCGTTTACATCCTGTCTCACCTCAGACCAAGAAGAAGAGCTGTTTGCCTCTGACCATCTCAGGGACCCACTTCTCAGTCCCAACTTGGGGAAAAACAGGGATCGACAAGCCGCCATCCTTAAGGGACTGGCGGACCTGAGACAGGTATGAGCCTCCCGCTGGTGCAGGCGCGACTCACTCTGGGGGAGGGCGCTGTTAGAACGGCTAAGCAGGCACTGAAGCCGAGCTGGTTACAAGACTTTTTGATTTGATTGGCATTGCCAAAGAGTATTTCTTCCCAGCATGAAATCATGAGACGTGAGTATTAAAACAATTTTATTGAATGAAAATGCATACATTTGAAATGGCAAAGCATGATCAATAAGGCCCTAAAACCAAAGGCAGAAAATAAGTACAGTTGTGGTTTCTTAGTAATGCAGTTCACAATTTCTTAAAATGAATGTGTTGGCTGTGTTTAGAACAGAACATTGACACAAGACCCCAACAGCACTATATACTCAGTGTGAAATTACATGTATTATCTCACCAGACTTTCTCCTTGCTGAGGTTAAAAATCCAATATTTAAGTCTATAACTTTTCTCTATCAGGTAGCCTTGAAGAAACACCTGTTGCTGTGCTTTAATGACTTACAAAACTGCTTTTGCAGTTAGTTTTGATTCACAGTATAGTTTTTTCCCAAATAAACTGTAGTTTTAGGAGTACCTTTTCCATGTCCAGTCATTTACAGATGCCTCCTGTATTTTAAGTTGTTGATTCAAGTGTTAACAATTTTTTTTTCTATAAAGCTAGAAAATCACCCCCATTAATACAGGATTATCAAGACTCCTTTAGCCTTTTTACACGTTAGCATTAGTTACACCTGGATTGAGTTTTGTAACTCAAGCTCGGTAATTCACACAGATTTTACTAACATTACCTTTGGAAATGACAAGCATACTCTAGCTTAGAAAAAAAGTTCTAATATACATATACGTTCACCTCTATAGTGACCATGTCTTATTTCAGCAGGGCCCTGTGCCAGCCACTAAGGTTAATGCAGTCAACATATACACTGGATGTTAAGGGAGACTCATGGTCTTTTTAAGACATTTGAGGAAAAGGTAAGGGGGTGGCATCTCTTTAAGGAAAGCCATCTCTATTGGTTTTATGCTAAAAATATGAAGACAGTCTTACAAATCTATAATAGCTATATATATAGTAAGTACAGTATCCAAGTGAGAAAGTCTGGTGTAAAAATTGAAAACATGTTTTCAAAGTAAATATAAATTGGGTTAATTTGCACTTTACTAACAAATCAATGTGATTTCAGGGCCTTCTCCAGAAGCAAAGGGAGTTGGAAACTAATCTCATGCCTTTAGCTGCAAATCAAGAAGAGAATTTTAGTTCTTTGTTTTAAATGTAGAAAATTAAACCCTTCATTTGTGTTCCAAATTATAAAATGTGGTTGTTGCTTAACTGTGTTTTTACAAGTAGCCTAGATTTATTTTTTAAATGCTTATTTAAAACTTGTACATTATGTAGAAAAATGCTGTGTATATATTTTATGTATTTAAAACAATAAAACAGTTTCATAAAAGCTTAGTTAAAAAAAAGTTACCTGCTCTGTCACAATGTGGGTATTTATCTACTTACCTTAACACAGCCTGGAGTTTACAGATAATGTTCTTCCACACTTTACATGTAGGCTTACTAATTGAAACACCACTTATCTATTTATTATATTCTATAAAAAGAGTTTGAAGAATAGGACCTAAAGTTCTTTTAGTGGCCAAAGGAAGGTCTGATGTCCCAACATTACTAAAACAGCCCAGATTCAGCTTAGGCTTATGAGGAAGGTTTTTTTAAGTCCTTTCATGACTTTTATTGTAGAACCTACAGTTTTCAAAAACAGTTACAAGTTTGTATTAGTAATGAAGAAGCATTTTTTTAATGAATACATGTGGATTGAAAATTTTTATCTCTACCATGTACTTTGGTGCAGCACTTAAGTGCTTACTTACCACCTGAAAAATATACATACATTTTTTTCCTAACAATTTAAAAACCTGTAGCAAAGTTGGTTTCAAACTGTTAATAAACTGCCTGTAATAAACAGAAACCTATCTTTTGAAATATGAAACTGAATTTGGTTAAGTCTAAGGACCACATAAGCACTGAAAAAAGTAAAAGCTTGACCAAAATTTTAGTAACAGGCAAAATTACATGGTTAAGTCTAAAGATAAAAATTAATGCTGCCTGGTATTAAGTCCTAAGTACATAGTTTTGTAACCTAAATGAAACTGCTTTGTTCGATAAATCCTGAGGTATTGAGCCAAAATCCTGTAAATATTTATTAACATCACTGGCTTATACCTGTGTAAAAACACTGTACAAAAGCTTAAATAAATACAATAGTTGATACATCATTTCAGCAAAAGTATTTGGGATAATCTGACATTAGAGAAAGGAAAAAAAGCCACTACTGTGCACTATCCTTTTGCAAATATCCTAGTTTTATATATAAAACAAGCTTCAATTTGAAGCCAAAGTACAGATGACATATAAAGTGTAAAACTTAGAAGTGCCAACATGAGATAATTCAAGTACAATATATGTTAAAAATATATATATTTATTTCAATTTTCTGAGGCTTCAACTGTTACAGGCCATCATGATTTAAATAAGGGGGGAAAAAAACATGAGAAAGAAAAGAAACCTTTTGTGTAGAGAAAGAAATATAAATTGTTAATTCACTTTTAAGAAACAGAAAAAGTCCAAAACAACCTATTAAAAGTACTATAATTATTTCTGTTTTGAAAACGGCCTGCAAGAATCAATTTTCCACCAACTTAATGGAGATGGAGAGCTCTCTCTATCCAAGCTTTGAGTATAAGCAGATAAAAAGTCATTTTCACTTTCTTGAGTCTGACTTGATGAAAGGGCATATGGTGTGCCCAAAAATGTCTGATGAGTGAGAACATTAAAATGACTAAACTGATGGGACATATTTAATCGACTGTGATAAACCTGCAAGTTGCTATATGAATCTTGTTCAGCTGAATTACTGTTCTCTCCTTCAGAGCATACTCTATCAATAGCAGCTCTCTCTGCAGAATCAATTTGATAAGTCTCATCTTCTAATAAACTTTTTTGCAAGTCAAGAGACGATTGCAACTCAATTTGAATATTCTTTTTTTGATCTGTTCCACGTGATCCTTTGGTCTCTTTCTCCAATATTTCTGAATGAAAATTGCTGCATACTTCTATTTGTGAGATTTCATCCCCTGAATCCAGAGACATATCCTCTTCATCCTTTTCATCGTTTTCTAAAAGAGCTACATTTAAAAAACAAAAAGTCCTCCTCTATTGAAATACACAATTTGTTTAAGTTTTAAAATTATACACTACTCACACAATATAATGCGTCAGGGTCTGCAAGTCCACAATCCCTTAAAGCTTGGTCTTCTGCCACAAGTTCACTTAGTCACAACACTCACACTAGGTGTGAATGTCCAGATAATCCGATGCTAAAAGCTTCTGCGAAATGTGTTCACGTTTAATGTTGGGAAATCCCAACTCCCAGCTCCAAAGGGGTTAATGTCAAAACAGCATCTAAAGTCATACGGTAATTCAGTATTTGACAAGACAAATATAAAATAAAAATTCTGACATCTAGCTTCACTGGATTACTACTAAATAAACTGGTTAGCTCTATCAAATGTTCGATCATCTCTGCTTTTCCTCGAAAACAAAAAGTACATCTTTCATTTTACATAAAACCTGGAACCAAAGCAGAGGCCATCTCACAAAAGACTAAAGCTATGGATATCTCTACTACTTTATCATTAAACTGCTTTAAATCACAACAGAAGCCAATAATACTTACATTACCTCCAAAGAAAATGCTTACTCTATATAAGTATAGTATGCAGTCTACCATTAACTCTTTAACAGCTTACATGGACTACAGTATAGTAAATGACATTTTTGTATATTCTAAGTAAAAGAATGATAAATGCCTTGAAACACTCCCCCTGAAGCTGTTTACACTGAGGTGAGCAGTTTCAAATAAGTTTTCATTATCTGAAATCAAAGCAAAGCCATTCTTTTTCTGTCTACCTTAAAGAAAATGAAAACTACTGAAAAGTTACCTGACTGTGACTCAAGGTTCTCATTAGCACCAAGCAATGGAAGGTTTTCTTCTGTGATTGAGTTGTGATAGCCCACAAGGTTTTTAAAGTTTTGCATGAAGTCTTCAGCAGTTGCAACCACTATTCCATTATCAGTATAACTAGAAATCATCTTGATACTCTTTTCTAATTTGGGGGGAAAAAATGTTGAATATAAAAAACACTTGAAAATATAAAATTATACTGCCTGCCCACAGCCCTCAAAAAAACCTTTCCTCCACATTTTCAGAAACACCCCTACACAGTGCCACAAAATCCTTTCGCCCACATTCCTGTATTCATAGTAGAAAAGAGCATTTGCTTTACCTGTTAAAAAGACTATGTGCCGGTGCTGTATGTTCTGAGCCTGAAGTCTGATAAGGCAATCCAATTCTGGAGCATTTCGAGTTTGTGAATCACAATTGTGGTATGACAAAATTTCAACCAGATGTTTCTTCTGATAGACATTCAGTAGCGTCAACAGACTTAGAGCTTTAGCATTCAATCTGTGAAATTAAGTAGTTCAGTATCTGGATCTGCATCTCTAAAATTTAGTATGGATGTTTTCGCTTGAAATTAACAGCATAATTTCTCAATAGAGGCAACTGATCACAACCACACTGCGTAGCTCACTGCCTGATGTATGGGTGCTTCTGAGTAGAGGAAGAGTAGAAACTCTGCAACCCCATGGTTAAGGGCTTTCTCTGGGTCCGAAGCCTGAGGACCAGTTACTCAGTTCAGACAAAAATCTCAACTTACTAAATAAATTACACTTCTCTTCAGCTTCACTAATATAGAAATGCAATCAAAGGCATAAAAGGACAAAGTATATAAATCTCCCTTCAAAAAGAACATGGCTCTACGCTATCTCTAACCCCAGACACAAGGCAACCTGTGGAAGAAACTATTGGCTCTTGTGAGGAAGATGAGGGTACTAACTTGAACAGGTTATACCTTTGGTCCTCAGTGTTGGTATCTGTTACAAAAGACTTGCCCAATGCCTACTTCACATGATTTGATGTTTTTAAAAAATCAAATACAATGAAAATTAATTTAAAATTATTTAGGCCTGAATTTCCCTAATTGTGTGCCATGGAATTTCAATAGGTACAAGAAGAAGAAAAAAGTTTTGTGGCCTATGTTTTGGAAATGCTGACTGACAGAATGTTACATAGTATCCTTAACTACAGTTTCTCAGATCCTTAACTCTGTAAATAAGTACCTTATATGGACTCTAGCAATCATCTGATTACAACAATCATTTGCAGAGCCTCTCAAGGGACTAGTTTACTATTCCAAGAATCACTTTCAGAAGTGACTTCTGGACATGTTAGAAATCACTTATTTACACAAATTAATGAACTAATCATAGAACCCCTTATCATGTCAAAATTAATCCTTGTCTCATGTGTAGTGTTATTAGATTAACTGAGAGAGGACCTGATCTAGTTGGCATATATACGGTTCCATAAGAAGAAGAATGCTGATTATCTCATTTTATAATTCTAAACCCAAACGGCAAAGGTCATATACCTAACTACAACTTTGGCAAACCTCTACATAAACAAGAATACCATTTTGGCTGGCAAAAGATACCTATGAAAACTGAGCAGCATCTATCATCTGTAAACATAGAGAACAAAATCTTGTGAACAAAATGTTAAAATCAATAACCAATACAGTTATTTTTCAAACCTTACCTGCCCAGTTCCTTTAGCTTTTTCTGAAATTTACAGTGGACTTTCCATTGCCATTTTCCTTCTGGAGTACTAAGTTCTTCGAGGAATGTCAAAAAATTTTTAAGGTTCTCTGTTAGAGATAATGAAGTTTGTTTTAAATTCAGTAAATAAGTCACTCCACAACTGAATTATGGAAGACATGTCTGCTGATACTATGTAGTATTTTCTTTTATCCTCCTTCTAAGGGAGATAGATCTAGCTCTCTCTCTAATAACATCTACACACAAAAAACAAGTTAACAAAAATCAAAAGTAATCTAAGTAGGTGCAGAGAGCCCTGCTTCATGCCAGATTTAGTGGAAGTTAATTCATAGAGTAAAAGAACGGCAAACAAATCTGTAGTGATAAACATTCCAAAAAATGATGGAAATTACCTGTGACTGGCAAAACGAACAATACATGAGAAAAGTACGAGTGAGTCACTTGTGAGAAAAACCCAAAGACAGAAGTTACATGCTTAAGAGAATGTATCTTACCAATTGTGATTACTTCTGGATTTAGAATGGATTCATCAGAAACAATAAAACCTCCAGATACAAATAATTCATTGTATGTATGATTTTTAACATCATCCAGACTATCAACACCAGCAAAACTAACACAAGGGAGCTTCTTTAACATCACCAAACGAGGTACCTATTTAAATACGAAAATAAAAATAGAAATAAGGATAGACTAAAGTGTGAAATATACAAGAAACATACTGTGGCTCACCTGTACTAGTTAGTGTGTTGCCTCTGAGAGGTCAAACGCAAAAATATTTACATTTTTTCCAAATATACAAACTGACATGTACTGGGCATCTATGCTGACAGAACACTCTAAGGAAGAGGAGGCACTTATAACAGACCTAGAAATTCATCATTCAGAAAGATGAATGCTAACTTGTCCTGCTCTGTGAGTACTGAGAATTCAAATGAGGCAAGAGCCTGGAACAGTCACGAAAGACTTCAGAGCGCAGTGGTACCTGACACAGGCTCCTGAGACTAGATGGGGCACCCCCAAACCCAAGGGACAGGGGGCTGGTTTGGCAAAGAGGGGGTATGTATGAATGAAGGTGGTAATAACAGAGTCAGCAGACCCAGTGGCATTCAATGAGCCAATGTTCTTACTCTTGACTAAGTGATGGGAAGATAATGTGATGATATGCCACAATTTAAAATTTTCCAGAGGTACAAATAGGAATCCCACAAGTCAATTCACAGAGCATAGTGCAGGTCCTAGATGTCCTAACCTCGAAGTTTTATCTCCTTTAAAACTTAGCAATACTTTACAGCTTCAGTCTCAAAGATAGTAGAGATTTTTTACAACCAAAGTAAGGAATTCAGTGTAACAGTCTACCTTGTGAATGAATCCTGCAATGTCTTCATTTTGAATAATAATCAATAGTTTATCTAATTTTGATCTTCGTTCCAAAAACTGTTCTGGGTGACACTCTGTATTGCCTAATTTGATAAGATACTCCTGTTGAAAAGAAAAGAAAAACTAAATCAACATTTGAAACTCTTCTTGCAAACATCCATTTAACGCCAGAAATGCAAGATAAACTGGTTATATTTAACTACTGCTAGACTATGATTAATGATGAACTTTACACCAGGGACCTCAGAGATCAAGGCCACTCTTAGAGAAGACTGAAGCTCAGAGCTTTCACGGTCACAATCTCAGCATTACAAATCCTATGCAGTCAAGGCCAAGTAAATGCCAGCTGGGGTAACAGAACAGAATGGATTAGCCCAGGTTTTTAACTTAGTACTTATTCTGGGCAACCACTCCCTCACTTCCATTTTCCTTTCCTTTAAAGCAGGCCCCTGATTATCTGCAGCAGTTACCAGTATATTCCTCAAAGTTACAAAGCACTTTTCCAACTGCTGAAGCCCATTTAATTCACAACCACCCCAAGATCATTCATACAGAGCTTCACTATGTACAGTGGTACTTACATATTAATTAGCCCTGCCTGTCAAGTCTACACCTTCAAACAAAACAAGACTCTCCCAATAATGCCTCCTACCATGCTGATAACACAGTACTAACAGTCACTACCTTTCAAAGGACACAAGATAGCCAGGCCTGGCACCGTTCTCTTTGCTTGTTGGGGAATCCTGAACCCTGAAGCAAAAGGCAGGATTCTGAAGGTCACATTCCTCATTTCAGACTCAGGAGATTAATTTTCTCATGGTTGACAAACCATAAATCTGAACCAAGCTTGCCCCCACCAGCTTTTACGAGCTGTCTACAGTGTCACGCCCAAAGCGGATGTTTCTGCGCGGCCAAGAAGCATCTTCTGTGTTGTTTCATTTTACTCTAGCCTCTAAAGCCTCTGCAGAGAGCCCAGAGCAGCTTACCATCAAGTTACGAAAAAGGAAATTAGTGTCTAATAGAGCTGCTTGTAATTTTTGGTTTGTTTACATTAAGAAGCTTTAGATGCAAGTTTGTTTTTATATAAGAGTATAACTCATAATGCAACAAATCATTTTGATTCCAGAAATATTTAGGAAGTTTAAAATTTTATTCATCAAGTCCTATACTTTAACATTTTGCAAAATTTCCAATGGGTATTAATTAAGAGTTAAATTCTGATCTAATTTCATTTTTAAAATACACATCCTTTTTCTCTCCTACATAAAATAAATAACAGAAATATGATTTACTCTAAGCCATAATGGATCAAAACTACCATTCCTAAGTAAACAAATTTACTCTAAGTGTCTTACAATCTTTAAAACACAGTGGGAGATGGACTTAGCTGAGCACACTGGGAACTGTGCCCAACCCACTCTCATTGAGCTCCACGCCAACGTGCAGTGACGCCCCCAAAGAGGTGGTAACATGTTGCTGGGGGTGAAAAAATGTGGAGAAGCTCAATGCTTAATCATACGGGGCAAAAATGCAACCAAGAAATTCCTGATAAATCCGGTTTCTTCTTCCCAAGAACTACAGGAAATGAGTAAAGGCAACATGCTGAGCACTTGGCTGCCTTCACCTTCCCCTGAGCACATCAAGTCAAGTATGCCAACATCAGAGATCCTCAAACTGACAAAGGCTCAGGGCAATCAAAGCATGGAGTTTCTGATGCACTCTGGGCTGTAAGTAACTTACAGTCCCTTCTGCTTCCTCTAACTAAAAAAGCAGAAGCTCATCATGGTAAGTATGTTGAAAATGAGAGCAGGTATATTTAAAAAACTAAGGCATTCCCTTACTAAGGAAAACTAGGGCTTGCTTCCCTTGTGGCTCAGCTGGTAAAGAATCCGCCTGCACTGCGGGAAACCTGAGTTTGATCCCTGGGTTGGGAAGATCCCCTGGAGAAGGGAAAGACTACCCAATCCAGTGTTCTGGCCTGGAGAATTCCATGGACTATACAGTCCAAGGGGTCGCGAAGAGTCGGACATGACTGAGCAACTTTCACAAAAACAATGACACAAACAAGGCATTCCCTTAAGGAATTAAAATGCTATACAGTTTAGTGAATACTAATTGGCTAACTACTATCACTATTTAATTACTAGTTAACCACTAATATAACTGTCCCATGTGTTATAAATTATATATGTCTCTATGTGTGTGTGTGTGTGTGTGTTTTAAATCAACTGCCTGAAATGCTAGTCCACTCCATAGCTTGAGTACAAAAATTATACCCTGCAATAAAGACTCTTTCATGATTGGGTAAGTTTTTCAGAATCATGTTTTTTGATCAATAAGGGCTATAGGGAACCCTGGCATGCCCAGGACATCAATAAACACCAAAAGATACCATCATTAGGTCATCCCGGACGGTTTTGTTTTTCTATCTGACTGATAAAACCCCATGAGGTACACAGTGACAACTTCATTTCTCTGCATCTCTCCCTCTGTTTTGTTAAAAAACCCAAGAAACATTTAAAATCTTTGAATCAATAATGTAAAGGTATGGCAATATGTATGCAGTTGGTCTTTAAAAGTGAGACTATGCAAAATAAGATTCAAAATTCTAAGATGTTTAGATCACAGGTTCTGAATTTAGTTGAACTTACTAGTCTTTTACTCCACTCTGCATTAAATTATAAAAAATAATATGGTCAGCATTTAAAAAACAAACACAAAAGATCCATTTTATAGAGATCAGACTCAACAACACAAGTTTAGACAGCATTACAATTACCTTCTCATTTAGTTACCTTTATTTCCTTACAAAGCACACTCTCTTCTTCTTCATGAATATAAAATTTCACAGTATTTTTCTGGACATCTTTCATGATTTTAACCAAACTGTTAAAAACTTCAGGCTCTAACTGGCTTATAAAATTTGAAAGAGCTGGCTGGGCAGAAATGTTTACATCACTGGGCGACTTTGCGGTTTCTTTTTCTGGTTCCCGGGTAGCATCACCAGGTACAGTATGATCGGAAGTTGCCACTGGCTCCGCGGCTTGATGTGGCTGGTTCACCTCTACTTCAGTTAAACCCAGAGCTGAGGAGGAATGCTGCTCTTGAGAGCTGGTGTCTTTCAAAGCATCACTACCAAGTAGTTCAAGATGGTGTTTACTGCTGAAGTCGCTTGAGGAAACTGGCACGACATGCCTTCCCAGAGGACTCAGTGCTATCTTAGGACAAGAATCATTAAGACTGACTGGTGGCAAATTCCCACTCTTGGCTGATGCTTTGATAATAATAGTATTTAGTTTCTCATGCAAGCCATCTACAAACTCCTGTACACCGGCTTTGGAAGTCTTAGAATATATGAACTCAGAAAGCCGTTTCATCTTCTCTTGCGTTGAAAAGATAGGTGTGGAAATTCTGCTGACATATGAAACATTCTTTTGCTTCAGAATCTCTTCTATCTTCCTAGAAAAGAGGTTATACTCCCCTAGCACTGTCCTCTCTGTGGCCTCGCTCACTGCAGGCGGCTCTGGCGCCGGCACACACTGCTCCTCCGTCACCACCTGACCTGTCACCGCGTCCTCCTCACTGGGGCCCTGCACTGTGTCTGTAAATGGAGAGGATGGAAACTGGTGATCAGAACTTCTCGGTCTACTTATTACCCGGGGGTCGTTAGGGAAGGCCTCCTGTGGTGGCAGACACACCAGCTGTTCTTCTGGTGATTTCATACCTATACAGGGAGAGTTTACTATTACAAAAGCAATCCAATATTAATGACATCTGAAAATACAAACTCATAAATAAGGGGCGGGGGAGGCCAGGTCAACTATATATTTAGAACAAACTATGTATTGGAAGGTAGAGTAAAAATCTCAAATAATGGTATGACCCTATCCCCTATGCACCCTTCTTATTTTATGGCTGCTTTTTGTATTTCAGTAGCTCAAGTAACAAGTCTGAATGTTACTTTCTTTGATTACTTTTGAAGTTCTCAACCAAGTGCCAATTTAACATCACTATAGATAGATAAGTCACTTGCTTACTTCTGCTTCGCTACCTTTTGGTACACCTGACTCTAACGGACATGTTTTAATCAGAATAGTTAGTTGCAACAGCTTGTTCAACCCCTATAATCTTTGCGAAGTAATGCCCACTACTGTGGTTCAGTTCAGTCGCTCAGTCGTGTCCGACCCTTTGCGACCCCATGAATCGCAGCCACTAACTGTGGTAACACCTTCTTAATATGAAAACTTTTGAGTGTAAGGCAACTGAAAGAACATCAAGCTGAAATGCTGTGGGAGTAAGTTGCATTCAGGATCTAAGATAACTAATTTTATCTATTTCCATATTTGCTCTCACATATGGGGTTGTTTACCTATGGGGCTGCATAGTGGATTTGCTACAATGTTAGGGACTTATCAGGGAAAGAAAGGCTCAATAATACAGGAAGAGAACATATTTCATAGCTGCATTAATATTAATGCTTTTTGATAGCACTTTAGTATTTGTATTTTGCTTGGAAATAATTCCAAGAGAAATCAAAATAGCTATTACCCCATTTGAGATGAAGAGATCATTAAGCTAGCTAATGCTAATTGAATTATAACTTTTGATTCTTGACAACTAGCTCAATCCGTAAGAACATAAATCCTAAATTTTTCCCCTCACAAATCCTAAATTAAACCACAGTATGTTTTTGAAACTGCATTTCAAAACAGGTACGCTAAATCTCTCTGTAAAAAACAAGGGGAAAATATGTTTAACAGCAATTTACAGTAGTACTTTATTTCAGTAAAGACAAAGTTTTGTTATTTTTGTCTTCAAGTTCCTATTACATAAGTTTATAAAAAAATTACTAATTTTTCTTAAATCTTAGCCAATATTCCCTAACAGATTGCTACTACAGTATAAAATGTTACCTCTAGATCAGAAAGTCCATACATAGTTTCAGTTTTCAAAACTGCAGTACTTTTAAAATACAGTGGAATCCCTATTAAAGTTTATACCCAGGTATAGCAGTGTAACTTCTGTTCTATATAAAACTCAGTTTTGATTTCCCCCACATTCACAGTTTTGTAAATGCTGAAACAGCTCAGCAGCATTTAGTTTATGACCTTTCTCTACCAACCCCAGTGGTTACCATGAAACACTGCACCGATTAAATACTGCAGAGGCATCTGTCAGCAGGATATGAAGACCATACAGGAGGTCTGTAGGTAAAAGGGAAGGGGAACAAAGTATCTTGTGTACCAGTTAAGAATTAGTACTGTATGAAACTGATAAACCAGAAAAATATTCAAGTTCCATAAACTAATTTAGGAATTTTGAACACATTTCTTACATCTGCAGTATGGCGTTTAGTGGACACATGAAATGTCAGGATGGATACATAAGAAATCTGTAACGAGGAACCCCTTGGTGATCCAGTGGTTAGGACCTGGCCTTCTTACTGCCAGATCAGATACCTCCCTAGTCGGGGAAGTCAAGATCCCACAAGCTGTGCAGTGCAGCAAACAATAAATAAGTCTGTAACTAACGGTGATTGATTGGATGAAACTACATGTGTGGTCTAGGGTTGGAAGACATTTTTTGAAGTATTTTCGTACTTCTTAACATCATGTACCATGTCAAATATCTGAACTATTGAAATAAACATTTTTAATTGCATCCCATAAAACAAACAGTTAGGGAGGACATTTAAAAACTTCTGAAGGAAAAATGAAAGGCTTCTGAATGGTTTATTATTAAAAATACTTGAAATATATTCTCCCAGAGTTTTCTGCTATTCAAGAAGCTTATTCCTGAAGGGCTATGGATAAAGGAAATGTTTTTAAATTGAAATATAACTTAAATTCATTTGGGGAATTTTCCAATTTAGTTTATTAAAAAACTAACCAAATCCTTTTTGAAAATGCAAATGATCACCATCTATTTTGTACAGATTCCCTCATATTTTTATTAAGATCAAAAACTTATTTTAAAAATGTCTTCATAAATGATTTAAAAGAAATACACATCAGTATCATAACAGTGTGTCTTCTATTATCACTCAAGCGTTGTGGCACTTTGGCTTTTAAGTGCAAGGAGAGTAGTAAGTTTGCTAAAGGTAACATTATTGGGATTTTTATACTTTTAACAACAAAATATGAAGATGGTATGCCAAATAAAGACTGCAGATGATGATGGATCATTCTGAGACATAAACAAGATACCTGACTTCTCCCAATAAGAAAGAATTACTGATAGAAGCAAAACATAGATGAGTCGCAGACATAAAGTTGTGTAAAAGGGCCAAAACCAAAAGAGTGTAGGTTCCATCTACCTTAAATTCAAAAGCAGGTCAAACTAAATCTATGCTGAAAGAAGGAACGTTCATGGTTATTGTTTGGGGCAGGGAGAATACTGACTGGGAGGATGCAGAAGAAAGCCTTCTGGGGTACTGAAAATGTTCGACTTATTGATTTGGGTGGTGGTCACCTAAGTGTTTACATATGTAAAAATTCATCACGTTGTAAAGATTTATGCACTTTCCTGTATGTCATATATCTATTCTTCCTACTTTCTGTCCCCCACACCTCCAATTGTCTTTTCGTAGGAGGAGACAAAGATCTTAAGAAAACTATTAACTCAGTCTTTTTCTTTTTTACCCCCAAAGACAGGAATAATCACAAAGATCTACTAAAATTACAGTCACTTAGTTCTTCTTCCAAATAGAATAAACAATACAAGGTTTCTGAAAGAGTAAGATAAAATCAAACAGAAACAAAAAAAAAAATCCAGACCAAATTCCAAGCAAGAAGAGTCTGCCTGTGGCCAGCTGCCAAGGTACTGAACCGAGTTCAGACAAAAGAAACTGTCTTCCAGGCACCTACTATACAACAAGCTAATCAGTAATATCTGTACATGCTTCTCTTACTATCTGTAG